CAGAGACCGGGTCGTGGGAATATTGATCCTTGGGACCACCTCAAGGTACTATAAGGTGACACTTTACTCTGATAGCATACAAGTGACAATCTGAGCAACGACTGTCATTATAAATCTGATGAATATTCCTCACATTCCCCTCCGTCTACTGAAGACACCACAATATTCACCGTTGTCACTGTGCAATACAGTAGCAGGCACCTCCTCCCCGGCTCACACATTACCGGGAGAGGGTCTCAGGAGGAGTTCTTCCTGAGCCTGGCCCGGGGTCAGGCTCGACTTATGAGAGTTTGGTCCAACAGGCCTTACAAAGAAGGAATAATTTAAACAGGGATATTGAAGAAATCGAGCAGAGATTGAAGCATTCATATCAGATTGAAGAACAGAACAGAAAGCAACTAGAACAGAAAGCAATAGAAGAAATAAAGACAAACCCGAAATATTTCTTCACATGAGAAATCAAAAGCAAAAACCACTGCCAATATTGGACTCATTCGTACTAGTGAAGGTTCATACACTGAGGATGATAAGGAAATCAGTGAAATCCTAAAAAAAGCGGAATGAGGACATGTTTAGCACGAGTGTGGCAGATTTTGAAAGAGAAATGGTAAATATGCCCACGCACTCAGCTCCGGGTCCAAGATTCATGGAAGTCAATATTTATAAAAAAAAAATGAAAGGTGCCAGTAGCACAGCCACTCGGTATAGTGTGGAGGAAAAGTTTGGACACGGGGGAGATACCAGATGCGCTTAAATCAGCAGACATAGCTCCTCTACACAAGGGAGTTAGCAAAGCATTGGTAAAGAATTATAGACTAGTTGCACTAACGTCCCACATAATAATAGTATTTGAAAGAGGATCAGGAGTCAGGTCACTAGTTTCATGGAGACCAATGACCTTCACAACCCAGGCCAACATGGATTTAGAGCAGGAAGATCATGCCTCTCACAGCTACTTGACCATTACGACAAAATAACTGAGGTATTAGAAGAAAAACAGAATGCAGATGTGGTATACACGGATTTCGCAAAGGTATTCGATAAATGTGACCATGGAGTGATAGCACACAAAATGAGGTCATTGGGAATATCTGCTAAAGTAGGACGCTGGATACTCAGTTTTCTGTCGAACAGAACACAAAGAGTAACAGTCAACCATATAAAATGGAGTCCAAGCGCAGTTAAAAGCTCTGAACCTCAGGGTACAGTCTTTGCACCACTGCTTTTCCTTATTCTCATATCAGATATAGACTCAAATACACGTCACAGCTTCGTATCATCCTTTGCTGACGACACAAAAATCAGCATGAAAATTACCTCTGCTGAAGACATTGAAAAACAACAAGCAGATAATAAAGTTTTCGACTGGGCAACAGAAAATAACATGATGTTTAACAGTGATAAATTTTAGGTACTCAGGTACGGTAAAAATGAGGGCTATAAACATAATACAGGGTACAAAATACAATGAAATGTGCCCATAAAAGGAAAGCAGCATGTCAAGGATCTGGGAATAATGATGTCTGACGATATACCGTTTGGGGATTTTGCTTGGGGAGATCCGTAACGATAGGGATCCCATCACAATGGTTGTACTCTTCAAGTCACTTGTGTTGTCCCGTCTTGAGTACTGCTCGGTACTCACTTCCCCCTTCAGAGCAGATGAGATTGCTCAAATAGTGGGAATACAGAGAACATATACGGCACGCATAGACGAGATAAAGCACCTAAATTATTGGGATCGTCTCAAAGCTCTCCAAATGTACTCACTAGAAAGGAGACGAGACACACATCAAATAATATACACGTGGAAAATACTGGAGGGCCAGGTCCCAAATCTACACAGTAAAATAACAACGTACTGGAGTGAACGAAATGGAAGAAAATGCAGAATAGAAGCAGTGAAGAGAAGAGGTGCCATAGGCACAATCAGAGAACACTGTATAAACATCAGAGGTCCGCGGTTGTTCAACATCCTCCCAGCTATTTGCGAGACGAGTCCAGTGAGGAATGTGAGCCAACTCTTCAAAAGAAGCGAGATGTACCTCTCACGACTAGGAGAGCCGAGTCGTTCTGGAGATGGCGAAGTGTTAACTGAACAGAATCTAGAGCAATTTAAAACAGATTTATGCGATAAGTTTAAACAGTAATGAACTAGATTTTTAAACAATTGAACTCCGGTGAGTTCAATTATAAACTCACCGAGGCATAATTGACAACATGCCTCATGAGTTTTCATGCACGTAATTGCAATTACATAATTGCACGTAAACAGTTACGTACCGGTTGTAATTGTCTGGCAAGTAAAAAGAAAAAGGCGAATCAAGTATAAGTTGGAAGAGTGGGAAAAAGACCAACTTAGGTGGTCATAGAAGGAAGATTTATGTAATCTCTTTATGAATTAAAAGAGGCGTCATCTCTGGGGATGAGAGCGAAAGGGCTCAATAGAATGTTAATAAATAGGGAGTGAAGGGATTGAGCCATTCCAAAGTGCTGAATGGCGTGATGACTACGACCACCATTTGAATACAATAAAAGGGTGATATTGGGCAGGAAAAAAGTTATGTTCAACTTTGTTGAAAGGAAATAAAATATAAATAATTCACCTCCACGAGTAGAGTAGTCACAACCATTCTGAAATCAAAGTATGTAAATCAGAAAAAATACTGAGACTATGCAATGTGATCGAACTCGTATAGCCGGTTCTGCTATACACGGTATAGCCGTGAACTATAGACGTGCTTGTATATCATTATTATAAAAGCATAAACGACATTTCCTAAGAAATCGTGCTTCGAATTTCATTGCAACACACTATGAGAGAGACTGATAATCAAGACTATGATGGTGCATCCTGCAACATATAATAAGAATCTTAAGAAAACGATGACTACAGTGAAGTGTCCCAGACCTTCACTGGTGGAGCGTCCACCTATACTCTACCAACGAGCAACATCAACATCACTCCATCATCGTCAACCATAATATAGCCACTCTGAAAGATGCTTCGTTGTAACTTGATATCATCTGGAATATGACATGACGTCACTCCGGTTTGCTCACCCACATTATTATGATCAGGTGGGTTGGTCAGTCCCACACCCTTGCCTCCTCACGGCGACTGTCACTATGTCCTCTAGTTTACCTTGCATACGCCACTACTGTAGCCTACATCAGCCTGACAGGTCTGTGTCATAATCACTGCTGTACAATGAGCCCCAATTTCATTGTTAAAGAAATTCAACATGGAGGAGTTGCACTTGAACATCTTCCAAGGTCCTGGTAGTGTGGACACCCCCCCCCTTCTCTCTCCCCCCCAAATCGTGTAACAGCGAATATCTTGACGTTTGGTTGATTGACAGATCTTCTGCAGCTTTATTCATAGGTCTAAGTTTCAATGTGTTTACTATGTGTACATGTGTAACTGTGCACGTACATATATCTGCATGTACACGTGTATATCTGCGTGTGCACGTATATATCTATGTGTACAGTATGTGTGCACGTATATATCTGCGTGTACAGTATGTGTGCACGTATATATCTACGTGTACAGTATGTGTGCACGTATATATCTGCGTGTACAGTATGTGTGCACGTATATATCTGCGTGTACAGTATGTGTGCACGTATATATCTGCGTGTACAGTATGTGTGCACGTATATATCTGCGTGTACAGTATGTGTGCACGTATATATCTGCGTGTACAGTATGTGTGCACGTATATATCTGCGTGTACAGTATGTGTGCATGTATATATCTGCGTGTACAGTATGTGTGCACGTATATATCTGCGTGTGCTCTATATTTGTGTGCACGTATGTGTGTACAGTATGTATGTGTGTGCACGTATATATCTGCATATATATACGTATGTGTGCACGTATATATCTGCGTGTACAGTATGTGTGCACGTATATATCTACGTGTACAGTATGTGTGCACGTATAAATCTGCGTGACCAGTATGTGTGCACGTATATATCTGCGTGACCAGTATGTGTGCACGTATATATCTGCGTGACCAGTATGTGTGCACGTATATATCTGCGTGACCAGTATGTGTGCACGTATATATCTGCGTGTACAGTATGTGTGCACGTATATATCTGCGTGTACAGTATGTGTGCACGTATATATCTGCGTGTACAGTATGTGTGCACGTATATATCTGCGTGTACAGTATGTGTGCACGTATATATCTGCGTGTACAGTATGTGTGCACGTATATATCTGCGTGTACAGTATGTGTGCACGTATATATCTGCGTGTACAGTATGTGTGCACGTATATATCTGCGTGTACAGTATGTGTGCACGTATATATCTGCGTGTACAGTATGTGTGCACGTATATAACTGCGTGTACTGTATGTGTGTGTGCACGTATATATCTGCGAGTACTGTATATGTGCACGTATATACCTGCGTGTACATGTGTACATATACATCTACGTGTACATTATGCACGTATATTATCTACGTGTACGGTATTCACATATATATCTACGTGTACAGTTTGCACATACTGTGCACGTATACATACTGTACATGCGCGTACGTACACGGTGTTGTAGGACCCCGTCCTCACACGAGCTAAGGAACATATGCTAAGGATATGCTGATGCTAAGGAACATCTTCCTCATCTCCCCGGCTCATCTTAGTCGTCAGTTTGTGTTATTTCACATTCACGAGGCACCAACCCCTTACCTACTGCTTCCCAAGTGCTGGCTCCCTCGTATTGTATGCCGGCACTCCCTCATCTCACGTCTTGTAAGCAACACCTATGATCCTAATATGTTTTAGGAATGTAAATTAGGTATGTAAAAGGATATTGTGGACGAGGGAGTGGTGTTGGGTGGGTGTGAGAGGGCCGGCGCCGGGCCAAGTAGGAGACTTCAACAAAGCGGCATTTTGTGGAGTGCACGGGAGGGCCAGGCGACCCACCTGCCGGGCCTGCACCTCCCTCCCTCCACACCCTCCCACTCTTTACTCACTCACCTTTTTAGCGTCTTTGGGAGAGTCCTGTGCTAGTTGCTCCTCTGCTGTGGTGGATGCGACCTTCGGGTGTGTCCCGTTGACGATGGTGGTGGTGGCGTTGGGCTCCGTGGCTGGCCGTGGCGGTACAGATGAAGTCTCGCTGCGAACATTTCCATTGCCGCCGCCGCCACCAGTGTCCTCTTGGCCATTTTGATGGGAGGTATCGTTTTCTACTGGCATTTTGATGCCGGTAATTTCTCCACTAGCACCTGACGATAATTTTTTCTGTATATGCAAGTAGAATCACGATGATTTATGGGCGTTATCATTAAATATCGGGGAGATCGCGCGTGGCCACCCGCTCTCACACACGTAAACAATCTCACTGCCTTCACACAGCCCCTGTCGCTCGCCGCGTCCAGTAACTATTGCCACACAGTCCAATTCTATCTATATTTTACTCCTTTACACAAAGATATTCTGGAATTCAGAGAATACTGTACTTTAAATACACGTTTAAAGTATCATATATAAATATATCGCGCGATGTCATTTGATATAGCGTGGGAAATCCGTGTAAGTTTAACAAGAATCTTGCGGCGTGTATTGACCTGCTGTGGTCTCGAGCGGCGCGAGCACCAGGGAAAGGGCGGGGCGTTCAAATCTCCACCAAGACGCTCCCTACATTACTGCCAAAATTATTACCAAACGAATTTTACCTGCACTGCCCTGAGGACTGTTCCGTTCTCAGCCTCGTATTTATATATCTTGTGAAATTCACATGCTGGATAGATATCAGGTATATAGCTGTATATCTTATTTTACTTGCTTATTTAGAAAATAATAATCAACAGTTTATTATGACCTCTTAATTTGTTACTCACACAAATGAGTCAAGTGAGACAGACAGACAAACAGAGACGCCACGAGCGAGCGCACACGCACAAATCTACCTAATCAGATTCAAAATTTTATATGTAAATATGATAAAGGAGTGAGAAATTGGATTCTTATAATTAACATCTTTATTGACAAAAATATACAATTTTGCCTAATCGGAGTAATACCATTAGGTCGTATTACAGTGAGGATTTTTTTCAGGGAAATTCCTGCGCGGGCCCTAAGCCTCTGGCTGCCCTACTTAGCGTTCCTTGTTTCTGTTTTACTTGGGCGGAGTATCGTCCAACCACATGGGCTGGACGGTAGAGCGACGGTCTCGCCTCATGCAGGTCGACGTTCAATCCCCAACCGTCTAAGTGGTTGGGCACCATTCCTTCCTCCGTCCCATCCCAAATCCTTATCCTGATTGATTGATTGATGAAGATTAAGCCACCCAAAAGGTGGCACGGGCGTGAATAGCCCGTAAGTGGTGGCCCTTTTGAGCCATTACCAGTATCAAGAGCTGATACTGGAGATCTGTGGAGGTGCGACTGCACCCTGCGTGACGGGAGATATCTCCCGTGCTTATCCTGACTCCTTCCCAGTGCTATATAGTCGTGATGGCTTGGCGCTTTCCCCTGATAGTTCCCTTCCCTTGGGCGGACTATGAGTATTCATGACTCGTATGGTCGCTTCAGTAAGATTTTGTCCCATGTGTTTAACAACTTCTTCTGCTCTGTTGAATCTACGTTGAAATCTTATTGGGTTTGTAACTGTGTACTGTGTTAGATAATGTTCCAGTGGTCTGTTGTAGTTGTAACTGTGCACTGTGTTAGATAATGTTCCAGTGGTCTGTTGTAGTTGTAACTGTGCAATGTGTTAGATAATGTTCCAGGGTCTGTTGTAGTTGTAACTGTGCAATGTGTTAGATAATGTTCCAGTGGTCTGTTGTAGTTGTAACTGTGCAATGTGTTAGATAATGTTCCAGTGGTCTGTTGTAGTTGTAACTGTGCAATGTGTTAGATAATGTTCCAGTGGTCTGTTGTAGTTGTAACTGTGCAATGTGTTAGATAATGTTCCAGTGGTCTGTTGTAGTTGTAACTGTGCAATGTGTTAGATAATGTTCCAGTGGTCTGTTGTAGTTGTAACTGTGCAATGTGTTAGATAATGTTCCAGTGGTCTGTTGTAGTTGTAACTGTGCAATGTGTTAGATAATGTTCCAGTGGTCTGTTGTAGTTGTAACTGTGCAATGTGTTAGATAATGTTCCAGTGGTCTGTTGTGGCTGTAACTGTGCACTGTGTTAGATAATGTTCCAGTGGTCTGTCGGGCATTCCTCCACAGTGCTGACATTTCCTCTCATCTTCCGGAACCTGTAAGCCTATTTCCCATGCACATGGGTATCCAAGCCTGATGCGATGTAAGTGTACTTCTGTTGTTCTACTGCTCCCTTTCATCAAACTAAGTGGTTCGTAGTTGGTTGAATTCTTGTACCAACACGCAGATCCTGACGTTGCAACTGCTGTGTTGTGGTCACTGTACATCATCTGCATTGCTCTATTTCTAAATATTTTCTTAATCTGTGATAGACTCTGTGGTATATAAATGTCTACATTTCTTCGCTTAGTTGCAAGTTTTGTAGCTTCGTCTGCAATGTCATTTCCTATTATTCCCACATGACTTGGCACCCAGTTAATAAGTACCCGACGGTCTTGACGTTTGAGTGTTTGCATTAATGATATGACATTTGTTATCAGATGGATGTTGTCATGTATGTGGTCTTGTTACAGTGAGGATGATGCGTATATTAACTGTTTCCAGTTTCCCTAACTTGTATACCATGCAAGGTGATGGAGAATATCGTGAGGAAATGGCTCGTAGAGCATCTGGAGGGAAATAGCTTTGTAAGACACCACCTGCATGGGTTCAGAGATGATAAATCGTGCCTCACAGGTTTAATAGAATTCTTTGACCAAGCAACAAAAATTAGGCAAGAAAGAGAAAGGTGAGCAGACTGCATTTTCTTTGACTGTCAGAAAGCCTTTGACACAGTACCCCATAAAAGGCTGTTACAAAAGTTGGAGCAACAGGCAGGAGTAAAAGGCAAGGTGCTCCAGTGTATCTAAGCAACAGGAAACAGCGAGTAACTGTGAGGGGGGAGGGAGACATCAGAGTGGCGAGATGTCACCAGCGGAGTCCCACATTTCTCTGTACTTGTACCCATCCTGTTTCTAATAGTTGTAAACGATCTTCCAAAGGGTATAGACTCATTCCTCTCAATGTTTGCTGATGATGCAAACTTTATGAGAAGAATCAAGACAGATGAAGATAGACAGACTACAGGATGACCTGGACAAACTCGTGGAATGGGCTAGGAAATGGCTACTAAAGTTTAACTCAGGAAAGTGTAAAGTAATGAAATTAGGCGAAGGGAACAGAAGGCTGAACACAAGGTACCATCTAGGAGGTGAAATCCTGCAAGAGTCAAATAGAGAGAAAGATCTGGGGGTTGATATCACACCCAACCTATCCCCAGAGGCCCACATCAAAAGAATATCATCAACGGCATATGCTAGACTGGCCATCACAAGAACTGCCTTTAGAAACTCGTGTAAGGAATCGTTCAAGATCCTGTATACCACCTTTGTCAGACCAATCCTAGTGTATGCAGCTCCTGCCTGGAGTCCATACCTAGTTAAACACAAGACAAAGTTAGAGAAGATTCAGCGGTATGCCACCAGACTCGTCCCGGAACTGAGAGGTATGAGCTACGAGGAAAAGCTAAAAGAGCTGAACCTCACGTCCCTGGAGAACAGAAGAGTAAGGGGGAGACATGATAACCACCTACAAAATTCTCAGGAGAATTGACAGGCTGGACAAAGACAAACTCTTTAGCACGGGGTGAATACGAACAAGGGGACACAGGTGGAAACTTAGTACCCAAATGAGCCACAGAGACATTAACAAGAATTTTGTCAGTGTCAGAGTAATTAACCAATGAAATGTACTAGAAAGTGATGTGGTAGAGGCAGACTCCATACACAGTTTCAATTGTAGATATAATAGAGCCCAGTAGGCTCAGGAATCTGTACACCAGTTGATTGACAGTTGAGAGGCAGGACCAAAGAGACAAAGCTCAACCCCCGCAAGCACAACTAGGTGAGTACAACTAGACGAGTACAGGACAGTGAGGTACTGCTCGTATTCACTGCCCCAGGACAGTGAGGTGCTGCTCATATTCACTGCCACACAGGACAGTGAGAGTGAATATGACCAAGAATACCAAAGTGCCAGGAATGAATATGTCAGGATGAGAAGAGAGGCAGAAACACAACACGAAAATGACATCGCAAGCAAGGCAAAGACTCAGCCTAAATTGCTGCGTAGCTACATCAGGAGTAAAACAACAGTAAAGGAACAGGTTATGAAATTAAGGGTAGGGGCGGGAGGATTCACTACAAACGACAAGGAAGTGTGCGAGGAACTGAATAAGAAATTCAAGGAGGTCTTCACCTTAGAGCAAGGAGAAATTCCAGAGATAAGAGAGGGAATAGCTAACCAGGAACCACTAGAAGAGTTTGAGATTACCAGCGGGGAAGTAAGGAAGTGTTTACTAGAGTTGGATGTGACAAAGACTATAGGCCCAGATGGAATCTCCCCTTGGATACTAAAGTAAGGAGCAGAAGCACTGTACCTGCCACTCTCCATAGTGTATAACAAACCACTGGCAACAGGGAAACTGCCAGAAATTTGGAAAGCAGCTAATGTAGTCCCGATAGACACGGGGGGGGGGACAGACAAGAGGCACTGAACTACAGGCCAGTGTCCCTAACCTGCATACCATGCAAGCTGATGATTGTGCGAAAAAAGCTAGGGGAACATCTGGAGCGAAAGAACTTTGTAACACAGCATCAACATGGGTTCAGGGATGGTAAGTCCTGCCTCACAGGGTTAACTGAATTCTACGACCAGGCAAGAAAGAGAGGGTGGGCAGACTGCATATTTTTGGATTGCCAGAAAGCCTTTGATACAGTACCATGCAAGAGGTTAGTGAAAAAGCTGGAGTGAAATGGAAGGTACTCTATTGGATAAGGGAGTACCTAAGCAACAGGAGACAACGAGTCATTGTGAGGGGTGAGGTGTCAGATTGGCGTGACGTCACAAGTGGAGTCCCGCAGGGGTCAGTCCTTGGACCTATACTGTTTCTGATATATGTAAATGATCTTCCAGAGGGTATAGACTCGTTTCTCTCACTGTTTGCTGATGATGCAAAAATTATGAGGAGGATTGAAACAGAGGATGATAGTAGGAGGCTACAAGATGACCTAGACAGACTGAATGAATGGTCCAACAAATGGCTGCTAAAGTTCAACCCGAGTAAATGCAAAGTAATGAAATTAGGCGGTGGAAACAGGAGGCCAGACACAGGATACAGAATAGGAGATGAAGTACTACATGAAACGGACAGAGAGAAAGATCTAGGGGTTGATATCACACCAAACCTGTC